TAGACCTCGGTTTAATTATAGATGGTCAACACAATTTTATCAACATGCCATTGAAAGTGAAAAACTGGTCAACAACACGAAAAAAAGAAAACAAAACAGTATTATCATAAACTGTAAAATTGTATTGAGCAGAACACCGGCAGCTGGTCCTCAGATACAATTCTGGTCTTTGCTCATTTATCGCCATCCCAATTTCTTCATTTTGTCTGCCGATGCCCTGTGCCTTCTCCATGACGTGCACATGCCGGGGGTACTGAGAAGCGGTGTCGCGTGATTATCACACGGGCGTATATATTACTACTCGTGTGAAAATCACGTGACACCGGTAATTACTCGGTACTGACTTTTATTTTTGTTATAGATTACGCTGTTCAACAGCGTGACAAAGTAAATTAATATATACATTATATATTGGCCATATATCTTCTTTTTGTTTAAAGTTATTACACACGTGTCTATATACACAAGTTTTATTTTAAGCAGACGATGCTGAAATTGAGATAAATGTTAGTCATAAATATTAAAATTGGAAAATAAAATCACTGGGGAGTTGCTGGTTTATTTGTAGGCTATGTCAATTGATAGGAGAAAATTGAGATCAATTGTTGATACATAGATTATGCTGGAGTTGTCAAGAAGAATAGATTCAAATTACCGTACAAATTATCCGGGGTTTATATGAGTTATTTTCCGGTAAATTTATATTTATGACACTCTTGTCACGTGCAATAATATCACATATCGACGTCTCAATGTGTGCAACTTGGTCTGTGATTTTCTTGACAACGTGCAGAATAGTTTAGCTTGAAATCCTCGGCGTTTTTGCAATAGCAATAACCGGAAAGAGTACACATTAATAAGTGCAGGTCAAAATAGCCCTCACCACGCTTAATATCTTGAATGGATTTTCCCGTCATTCAATCTGAACGAAACCATTCATCATTTTTAGGGAAAATTTTCAAAATATATGCTGACTTAATAGCGAACAATGCAGAATCAGTCGCAACTTCTCGGCCCTTTCCGTCAAACTTCGGCTAAGAACCTCGGACACATTCGTAAGATTCCACAGAATGGATAATTATGGTATTTCGTTCTAGCCTACGCTAAGAAGTTAGTCATGTAAACCAATAGTAATTTAATGCTAGAGGAGTTGTCAATGTTTTAATTTTCAAATATGTATAACACGATGGGTATATAATTAAATATGCACTGTATATAGGGAATGAGGAAAAAGCTAAAAGCACTTTTTTGAGATAGATAGAAGACTTTTTACACTTGTCAGACATTTGTCATTAACATTTGATTGAAATTTATTTTTAGAACAAGACGCATGGGAAAGTAAAAAGAAAAGAAAGAGAAGAGGCGTTAAGTGTCATAAAAGGCATAAATGTCTTCATGCATAAAAAAGAATGTCTTCTTTCCACTTCAAATTTGCAACACCCCTTGTACATTATACAACTGTTTGTATCTATTTTGACACACTCACTTTGTTCAATATTGCGCATGTTGCTATAAGGCATTGCGGAATATTAATTAGATATACTTGTATGTTTTACTAATAAGGCATTGCGGAATATTAATTAGATATATGAGCCGCGTCATGACAAAACCAACATAATGGCTTTGCGACCAGCATGGATCCAGACCAGACTGCGCATCCGCGTAGTCTGAACAGGATCCATGCTGTTCGCTTACCAACTCTATTACAAGTAGAGAAACTGATAGCGAACAGCATGGACGCGCAGGCTGGTCTGGATCCATGCTGGTCGCAAAACCACTATGTTGGCTTTGTCGTGACGCGGCTCATATATGTTTTACGTAAATTAAAGATAACATCAATGTACAGGAATAGAACTGGTTGCCACCTTTGTCGATTTAAAACACATTTATTTTTGTATAGATGGGGTTTCTGTGTAAATTAGATACTTTTATATTTCCAGAATTTTCTGCAAATGTCGCAGTTTTATTTTAAGATATAAATTTCTTTTTCTGCATTTTAACTAAGGACTATTTCCTCCTAAACGTGCGTTTAAAAAACATGCATGGCCTTACTATTTGGGCCGGGGGGAAACGACATCACTGTATCTATGTTGTAAACCGTAGCAGGCTAGATGACGTTACGAGGCAAAAGCTGTTTATAAATATTGAAAATTACTATAATTTGTAGAAAATTACACTGTATAGCAAAGGATTACACTGTACGAGTATTGTTATAGTAATATGTCGAAGAATTTTATATAGTATAGAGCGGATATATAATATATGTGTTTAAAACGATAGGCTGTGAAATAATAATGTATACTTTAATAGGGAAAAACTATTAATTAGTTTTATAGTTTATACCGTTACATACGGTTATCTTTATTTTGAAATTGGATATACAGATGCATCTAAAGATCGTATATACATGTATTAAGATATAACAATTTACATGTATTGTCAAAAAGTGGAGTTTGAATGGGTAAAGCAAAGGTAAACACATGCTAATAAATCTTAATTTAGTATAACAATGATTAACTTTACATGAGCGTGCAGTGTTTTGTAATATTTTTTTATATTAGAATAAGACACAATATATGTTTAAGAGAATTTTGACTAGATTTATTCAATAGTCACGTGCACAATCATAATGACATCTATCTCGGTTTTTCTTATCATAACAAATGAACTAATTTGTTCTGTACAAACCAATTCTTTACTAAGTATAAACATTTTCAATTTTTGTAGCAATTATAGAGTAATAAATTGTTCGTGCTAATAAATGGATAGTTTTTCAACGCTTTATATTACGGTATATACAAATTTATGTATTAATAATGTAACATATTAACTTCATACGTGCCTGATTTACAGAATTCTATATATTTTCCCCCAATGATTCTGTTTAATTAGTTATTAGATTTGATATATCCATTCAATACAATAATAAGACCATTGTTAAATGAACAAATAACTATTTAACTTTCATCAGCCGTCATAAGTCATAAGGTAAATGTAAGTTGAACAATTAACGTTTATTTGTCACCTTTATTATTATCATTATTTAGTTTTGAATATTTTTGAAAGGTTATATATGGCCGTATATAAACGATTATTTGCGTATATAACAAGTTCCGCTAGCCGTGAGTTATACATATATTGCAAACAATTGTTTAAATACGGCCCTATAATCTGTCAAATTGATTTGTAACCAATATATAACACAAACTTCCTGTATTTGACCAAAAAAAAATGAAATTAATTTCATAAATTGACAGTAAACGTGTATATTGTTTATATGAACGAAACGATTATCCAATGAAAAGCCGGCGTAACTTATACATGTACAGTACTATAAGACAATTTATATGGCGCTTATGTGTACATCATAATATGCTTACATTTTAGCAACATACTGACAAACAGTGTTGAAATATAGTAAAAAAGTATACATGAAACCTCCACAGAGTGGACGGTGCCATGTATTTGTGTTTATCAATCAACAAGGGTATTGAGAGATCAATTTCTAATGACGTGCTTTAATGAATCTATATCTATGAATTATTTATTTATATTCATATTACACTCCGACTTTTCAGATAATGTGTTCCTAATTTCTAGATAATAACTTAATGACATCCAATTCTATCCAATGCAAAATGAATGATATATAAGTGAATTATAGCTTCACACATAATACGATATTAGGTTAACATGTTCAATAGTATTCTATGTACGTGTGAATTAAGATGAGGTCAGCGATAATAATATACAGTAAAAACCCGCTTGTAACGATATTCAGGGGACCGCTGAATTTATATCGTTATATCCGGATATCTTTATATCCGAGAGGCAACCAGTTTGAAAACAAGAGTCGGGACCGCTGCATACATGTAAGCATCGTTATATGCGGTGTATCGTTTTAAGCGATATCATTATAAGTGGAGTTTACTGAAAAAAATATTTTTTTTTTATTCTAAAAAACACTTCACAGGGCATGTTCAATATATTCGTAATGAAGATCAAGACGTCAAGTCGATAATACAGAACTTTGTTATAAAAAAAACTTTTGGTTATATGGTAATATGGCCGAATAAAAACTTGTATTAGCAAATATGATCGGAATCTTGAGGCTGGGGTTATATTGCTAACGACTGTTTATAATTTACCAGAAATATTTATAAAGATTGTTGAACTATTCCTTTACCAATGCAAAAAAAATTCGTAAGCTTAACATGCTTATTATCTTAAACTGACGTGTCTGTCATCCAATCTTGACAATACAAATTCCTAACGTCTTTAGGAAATCCCCCCCCCCCCTCCAAATAAAAAAAAGAAACAAAATGAAAAAATACAGACTAAATAACAGTGCAGACCGTCTTCCGGAGGCCCCTGGTCTTGGTCTGCACTTGTCTCATGGAAAAAGGCAGCTGCCGCAAATACACTTAAGGTTGACTTTTGAGGCAGTCGTGTAGATGTCGCAATTAATTACCGGAAATCGGCGTTCAAAACTTGCGATATTACATATAATATACTTCAAATATCCATGTATATAAGTTTATTGTAGTAATCTATTGGATATGTGTTATGTTTTAGATGTGTTACGTATATATATTCTAAAGTACGTATTTTATTGTCTAAATGTATTATACATGTTTATTAAACATGTTCTATTATACAGAGTATTAATTCAAAACATGTTTTAATGTATACGCGTATTATATAGGTGTTATTATATCTTACATGTTTTATTGTATTTTAAGTGTATAAACATGTTTTATTGTACATTGTTTTAATTCAAGCATGTTTTATTGTTAGAAGTGTATTATACATGTTTTATTATACACTGTGTAATTTAAAAACATGTTTTATTGTATAAATGTATCAAAAATGTTTTATTCTACATGTTTCATAATACATATTTTATTCTATACGTGTATCGCATACGTTTACTGTTTTATGTTTTATTGTATACACCTATTGTATACCTTTTCTTTATATCATTTTATTATTTTTTTCAGTCACGTGACACATTGAGATTTAACAATCAATGCTGAGATATGATAACAGACATCACAGTGTGACAGAGGAAGTTGTTACAACAGATGGCATCGAGAATATTGACACAGTGCGTCAATAGATATGCCCCAAGCCTTTAATATTGACGTGCCAATACTTCCAGTAAATTGTTATTTTCTCAGCGTTATGAATGCTAAGATATTAAGAATGTTATAGGCAATGTTCGATCACCCGTCGGGTGACTCTTGTGTGTGACAAAACATTAGTAGAAACAAAAAAATATTTATTTGGATTTACACCATTGCCATTCATACGATTTTTCCAAGTGTTGCATAAAAGCGCTTTGATGTGTGTTATTTGTTCAGAGTAAAGCAATTTTTTGGTGTCTCAAAATTTCGAAGGAACGTATAAAAAGTTATATTCTAAATATACATTGTAAAAGAGAGTAAAATCAAATGATCAAAAATATTCAACCTACCAGTTTTAATTTTTCGACTTCGTAAACAAGATATTTTTTCTGTTCGTTTTTGGAATATCATAACAACACAAAATGGGAGATTATTCAACAGTGCAAGAAGGTGCCGCTCCTCAAACCGAGGTTGCATCAAGTGGTGTGATTCTCGGATCCGGAGACGCGTCTCCGTCAACCGACGAGAAAATTTCGTTCTGGAAATTATTCAAGAAGCACAAACTTTCTGTGCTGGTAGATTGTCTAGTGTTTGGAATATTTGGAATGGGCGTTGCATTTTTAGGACCAACCCTTTTTGATCTGGGATGCCAGACAAATTCAGATTTGAAACAAATGAACTGGGTGTTTTTCGTACAGCTTCTGATGACTATGATCGGATCTATATCCGCCGGATATTTGACCGGAAGGTGAGTAAATACCGAAATTAGTGTAAATACCGAAAAGTTTCATTTTATAGTAATAATTATTATAATTATTAATTTATCTTGATTATAGAAGAAATTAATTAATCAATCAGTAATGATTCACCGTGATAATCAATGAATGAAAGAGAGCGAATGGACGGCGGCGAAGGAGGGGTGAGGGCTGTAAGGGAAAGGATGGGCGGTTGCCAGTATAAAGAAAATCGGCTTTTTCGTTTCAATATAAATCGTTTATGTCCATAAAGAATCGATTTTGTAAGAATTTAATATTAGCAAGTAGAAAAAAAAGCACCTTGCCATGTCTTTTCATAACGCTGTGCACAATTCATTAGGCACCTTCCCAATATACTCTTATGATAACCCGGATATCGACTAGTAATATCTTTTTCTCAATCATCTGTCATAAGATTAATCTATGCAAAGTATCAACATGTTGTACATTCTAACATGCAATGCAGTTGTACATTTTCGTGTACAAGATGTATTCGAATAATGGGTTGTAATTGTCGTCTCGCGTGTTCAACATACATAAGAGCAGAGTTTGTTTGAAAATCTTGATAGATTGGCTGCAATGCATATTGGATAACCTTGCAGGTATATTTATCAATTCAAATGGAATGCCTACATTGAATTCGCAGTCGAATCGTAGCAAATATCGCGAACGCATTCAATATAGATTTGAAAAAAACTCAATGGTGTTTGATAAATATTCTGCAGATGAACATGAAATCTAGAAAATAAATATCCCGATCAGCTAAACTAAGTAAAATAAAAATGTGCCTGGCAGCAAATCACCATTTTCAGCACATTAAAACTGCGGTTTAAATATTTGAACAACATACTTCTTTTTGAGACTTCACCGCTTCTATCCGGTTTTAAATGATTTTGAAATAAGAGAAGTAGCTGCAAGTATCAATTTGCTTACGAGTACCGCCATTCAAGTCAACTCTATTTTTAGCTCTGCATTCGGATATATATGTGCTTGGCCAATCGCATCATCTCGGCCCTTTCCGTCAAACTTCGGATAAGGACCTCGAACACAACAAAACGGGCTAACCTACGCTTAGAAACTATAGTTACAAAATGCTGGTATCTGTATCTAAAATTTATACAAATATATCGAGTTTTTGTTTACATCTAAAACCAAATGAAAGACCTTATTTCAATCCGTATTAAGTCCGAGGTTATCATGTATAATAACCGAGGTATTCTGAATGGTACTTGGCGTTAAGTGCGCGTTTTAAATATATGAATATCACATCTCACTGAGGGTGATATGATGTTAACAAAAGACAAGTACTGCCAACCGAGGTGTTTGTTATCTTGTCAAGGATTGACATTGTGTCCTATCACCCTTTATTGGGATGTCATAGTTATTTTATTTCAACCGATTAAATCTGTATTCAAATGAAGACCTCAAACAAAGTAGCCTTGAACAATCCCTTTAAATGTCTGCACATAAAGTGAACAATCCCTTTAAATTCCTGCACCTAGTATGTGAGTGAGGACCGTTTTTCGTAATGTTGCCATTTTATATTACGAAGTTTTGCCCTCTGGCTAGTCACATAAGTCTATATAGTAAATAAATCACGTGAAGTATAATGATATGCATATATTAGCTCTTTAACACAGGGTAATTATCCATGGGGCGTTAAGCTGTAATTATTGTCTGGCTCATGTTGAAGCATGAATTACTAATATGACGACCTATTATAAATAGTGATGGTAGATTATTTCTGGAGATCAATACGCATGCCTAGTAAACAACACAGCTACCTTTTTAGGAAGTATACGGTAAAATGCTATCTCACTAGCCAAATTTCTAATGTCAACAAAGGTATACTGTTGTCTTATTTGCTAATGGCCTTATACATTCAAGTTATTTTTAACTTTAATACGGAAAGTTGAGGAAAAAATAGTCAAAAATAAATTAAAATCGCATTTTTGTGCTATTCGTGGTCGATTTGAGTAAAAAGCGTTGCAACGATTTTGAATTTTTGGTTATTTTTCGCAATCAGAATAGATATTTTGGACTGACTGAGTGAGTGAATAACTTGAAATTTTGCACACAAGTATTTGATCTAGACCTGCATCAAATGGCAAATTAATCTCGAAAACAATATTGCCTGTCCGTTATGTCAAAAAACCTCAGGGAAGTCCCTTTAAGATATGTGCGTTATGCAGATTTTTTTGACATGGTATTTAACATGAGTTTTGTAAAGTAATAAGCGACTCTTTCATAAAATGATCCTAGATATTGATGGTTTATACAAGTATATATACACGTACATTTTATCAAATGTGTGCCAAATTTGGTATATACAGCCTGTATAACAAGTCTACAAATTTATATATCAATTTCATTTCTAAGATTAGACAATAAATCAAATCAGATTTTGAGACAAAAAGGTCTGAAAAATAAATAAATATCGCAATGTATGTTTTCCAAGGACGCTGTAAATATGTATATATTTGCAGAGATAGATCAATATATCTTGGCGCATTGTTGAAATAACATATTAAACCACTAAGAGTTTATAATAAATATTCCATCGTTTAATAAGTTTCCCATGTAACTTTGTTTTGGAGAGCGCCGTTGAATCCTTTGGGAAATCATCCGTTGTAGCATCGTTGGTTTTGTTTTATATATTAATAATCAATAACCAATAAGCGCGCCAGAAAGGTCTTGTAACTTTTAACACTGCCGCAGTGCGTATTGTGTTTAACATCAAAACAAATAGCGCATCTCCCATTGGCATTTATCGTTATTAGTTTTCTATTATCCGCAGTAAATCAACTTAAATGATGATGATGATACGAAAAAATGTACATGTAGTTATAAATATAATATAGCAAAATTATTTAACATGCAAATTATATAACACAAATATAACCGTATATATTACAGAGTAATTCAATATCAAATCGACCAAACGCGTTGAATATATGACTTTAAACTATTTTTGTAATTATTATGGCGTGTTAAAATTAAATATGCATTTCTGTAATCAATGATATCCATTCAAAGCAAAAGCCAATAATGTTGTTTTTCAATATATACTTTAGAGGATTTTGTTTATAAATAAGTTACCTATACAAGGCAGTATTGGTCTAAAGAGTCAGAAATGCCTGCATCGCAACCTATGTGTATTTGGCCTAAGCCATATTTGAGTCACAACCGCGTTCCTCTTATGTAACCAAAAGTGGTTTGTTCAACGAGCAATCTTAACAACTTAACAATTTTTCTAAGTTCAAACAATTAACTTTATTTTTACAAACCGAGTTTAAATATTTATAGCTTTGTTAAAAACTAGAATTACATTCACAGGATACCAGGATACAATGTGGTTTTTGACATGTAATAACACGGACTATTTTGTGTTGTGTTATTAGGTTTGTTCCGGCGCATATCTTGCTCTGTATCGGTATGACCGGATTACCAATCACGATGTTTCTAATACCGGCGTGTAGAGTGCTGGCCGAACTACTTATTAATCTGATGGTGATGGGGTGGTTCATGGGATGTGTCGATTGTGTCGCTAATCTGAGAATGATTCTACGGTTTGATACCAATGTCACACCATTCTTGCAGGTAAATACATAATCACTGTAACTGCTAAATACAAAATGAAATTTGAATAAGGTCGCTCTTATAGTTTGATTTAGAATATGACACTGTTAAAACTATACAGGAAATGAATAACCGCACTGTCATTTTTTATATAAAATAAATAAAAGAGGAAGACCAAGAAATCAAGTTTTTCGATTTGATATCGACAGAATAGAGAACGTTTCATGTAACACCAAATGTAAAATAAGGATAACATTATGAAGAAATGCAAAGCCGTGATTAGATGAAAATACAGTCAAACCTTTTAACAGAGGCCTTCCAATGGACAGAGACCAGACATGTTCTTATATAATAGACAAGTGCTTCTTATTCGGAGGTTACTATACTTTAAAGTAATAATGAAGGGTTGTCTCAGAGTGTATGAACACAGTGGCGTTTATTCAGAGATGGTCCTTAATACAGGTTTTACTGTATATTACCTTTGGTTTTATCAAGAAATAAAAATGCTTGATTTTGAAGTATACCTTTTCATTTTTTTCGTAGAAAAACCTCGTACATGAGATGTAAAAAGCATATTTAATACCAGGAGCAGTTTGTCGTTTTTTCGGTACAGTAATGTACTTAACATAATAATAAAATAAGCTGCACTTTATTTTTACAGGCAATGCACTTTTTCTACGGACTTGGTGCATTTATTAGTCCGATGATTGCCTCCCCTTTCCTACTGAACATTGACTGTAGCCCATTTATAGACGGGTACACGATTACTCCGCCAGAACATAGTGCAGGGAACCAGTCTGTCACTATAAATCCACAGCCAAAAGTTGTAAACCGGGCTATGCATCTGTCCCATTCGAAAGAGGCTTTCTTCATACTCGGCTCCATACAGGTAATCTTAAGATTCGAACACAGTTCTATAACACGATTGGTTGGTTGCAGAATAGCGCGTACATTAACGCCAGTTTTGTTTATATTCACGAATGATAAATTTGATTATTACAAATTTAAGTTTTATTTTATTTTTATTTATTTTCATTTAGTTTTATTTTCAATATTGAGACACTTGCGTACGTTTAACTTATATTGCTATGTTTTGGATTGCGTAAAATAACGCGTTTTTTATGATTTCTTTTCGATGAAGTCACAGATTAAACAAATTCATTTACAGAACTTTTAACTAAAATTGACTTTAGTGCGGTAGCTGTGATTAGAGAACTACTTGTTCTTACTCAACAAAAGTTATTTAATGTATGTGTATTGATAAAATTAATAATTTAGGTTGTATACGTAAAATAATCTCTATAAAAAATTGACGACATTTATCAAAAAAGATCAAATTACTTTTAACATTATGAATTTCAATTTCTTTGTTTCAAATTTCAGATTGTGATAACGTTTATTGTATATATAGTGGTATGGCTAGAGAAGAAATGGGGAATATTGTACAGTCCCACGTCTTCCCCGTCTGTACATCACGCAGGGTTTCCCGGGCAAACAGGTAAATTTATAGTCCTCATGTCCCAGTCTGTACATCACGCAGAGTTTCCCGGGCAAACAGGTAAGTTTATAGTCCTCATGTCCCAGTTTGTACATCACGCAGAGTTTCCCGGGCAAACAGGTAAATTTATAGTCCTCATGTCCCAGTCTGTACATCACGCAGAGTTTCCCGGGCAAACAGGTAAGTTTATAGTCCTCATGTCCCAGTATGTACATCACGCAGAGTTTCCCGGGCAAACAGGTAAATTTATAGTCCTCATGTCCCAGTCTGTACATCACGCAGAGTTTCCCGGGCAAACAGGTAAGTTTATAGTCCTCATGTCCCAGTATGTACATCACGCAGAGTTTCCCGGGCAAACAGGTAAAGTTATAGTCCTCATGTCCCAGTCTGTACATCACGCTGGGTTTCCCGGGTAAACAGGTAAAGTTATAGTCCTCATGTCCCAGTCTGTACATCACGCTGGGTTTCCCGGGCAAACAGGTAAAGTTATAGTCCTCATGTCCCAGTCTGTACATCACGCAGGGTTTCCCGGGCAAACAGGTTAGTTTATAGTCCTCATGTCCCAGTATGTACATCACGCAGGGTTTCCCGGGCAAACAGGTAAAGTTATAGTCCTCATGTCCCAGTCTGTACATCACGCAGAGTTTCCCGGGCAAACAGGTAAATTTATAGTCCTCGATTTTCCGTCCTGTCCTTAGGCTGCATCACGCAATGATTCCCGGGCAGTTAGATAAAGTTATATATAGCCCTGGTTTCCCCGTCCTTCGGCTACATCACACATTGTTTCCTGGGCAGCTACCTTAAGTTATAGCCCTCGTTTCCCCGCAGAGTTTACCGGGCAAACAGGTAAAAGTGTAGTCCTTGTTTGCCTTGTTGCCAGCGTAAAATTTTGGGTTTTTCTTTCTTTTTCTCTTTCCATCTTTCTTTCCATCTTTCTTTCTTTCTTTCTTTCTTTCTTGTTGTTTGTTGTTGCTTATAATGATGCTTTATCTTCTTAGTTCTTATTGATTTGTTCAGAATTTGTCCTGCAATAAAACATGTCGCAATGCATATTTCTTTGGTTGATCGAAAGGTTTAAGTATTTTGCTTTGTTCATGCGTTATAAAGTTTGATATGGAACCTTATATAGACTATTCAAGTCAATTTCAATGATCCATTGTCTTTTGAAGATAACAATTTTGAAAATAACATTTTGTTTTTACTACACGTGTTTGTGTAATTTATAAACATTTGAAGCTATAACAGCCATCTTGTTTCCTGTTTCAGCCGATGGTTCCGACTTTACAGAGTACTCTGGTTCCCGATCTTTCACGCGCTACTTCCGGTGTGGGTCAAAAGATATAGTCATAATTACTGCACTAACATCTGCCTCGCTTTTTATGTACGACGGTATACAAGTAAGCTGTCTGTTTTTTGTTTGGTTTTTTTGTTTGTTTTTGTTTGTTTTTTATTGCTTTGGTTTTTTTTTTTGTTTTTTTTCTCCACTTAACAGTAAAGACCAATAATTATATATAAGTCGACAATAAATCGGAAACACCTTAACTGCATTAAGCCGAAGATAGAACACCCCCAATGGGGACTATAAAAACTGTAAAATTGAAACATAGCGACTTAAGGTATATGTGTAATTGCTAAATTTAAAAATTTTACCAGTGGTTTATGGTTAAAGGAAAATATTCTGAAACTAAACTTTGCTACTGGAAGGGCTCTTTTTCAGAAATGAGGAGACTCTAAATAGTCTTTAATATCATCATTATGAAAAATGATTTCCTATTTCTCATTGTAAAGAAACAAATAACAACATTCAGTTAATAAAGAACACGAGCAAAATTATTGTTTCTGAACAAAATGTTTTTAATATGCATAAATATGTTACCCTACCCCATCCACTTTAAGCATTTATTTGACCATTTCCCTATATCAAAAGCCTTATTCAAAATATCCCTAAACTTTACACAATGAAGGGGCCCTATTTTCGACAATTTTCAAAAAAATAAAAAAAAAAAAAGTATTGTAATGGCATTATTAAGCAAATAAATTACTACATAAAATTATATAATTAAAAAATCAAACAATTTTCCTTTTTCCAGTAAGGGATCTGAGAAAAATAAAAATGTTAAAGGAAAAAAAAATGTTAACCCCTTTTGAGGATTTTTGACCCACACCATCAGCTTCATTGCAGTTTGAAGGTGAAATTCAAGCCTAATTTGAAATACTCTTCAAAGTGGAGTTTATGCATAATGGCTGGTGCGGAAAAAAAGATAAAAATTATTTTAAAAAAAGCAATAAAAAACACAACTGTTACAAAACAAACAAACAAAATCAAATCCACATTTTGACATAAAAAAATTTAACGAAATATTCGTAAGCATTACTCCTACACGCATTTGTTACTATTTGTATTTTGTGTAAAACGAGAAAAGAGAGTTTGAAAAAAACAAACGTTACCGTAGGAATATGTTTTTAATGGTGGTGAAAACTTTTATTATATAAGAACTAAATTCCCTTGGGAACACTGACAGCCATTGACGGTGAGAAGATCTGAGAGTATAAAGTACGTCCAGAAGAAATTAGATTTCTAACACACTCGAACAGGATGAATTATTTATAAACTAATAATTCTCTAGTCAGTTATAAAACACTATAGCAGGAAGTAACACATAAAAAGAATTGATTTTCAACGCTTTGAAATTGTTTCCAGTTCCTCAATGTTAATAAAATGCAAAAGGGATGTATTCCCGTGTCAAAGAAAGTAAATCTGAAATGACGTAAAGAAAGTTTATATTCGGCTATAAAAAAATTTAAGGTTATTCGAAAAGAGTTGTAACAGGTGGGAAGTTAGTTTTGGAACTGATAATCGCCCCGTAGGATTTATCATTTCTGTAAGGGAGTTTCACATTTATTAGTAAACAAAATTCCCAAAATTGTCACATTTAAAAAAGGGAAACCCAAGACATAAAGACACGGTTCTGCGGATATAATTTTTTAAGATTATGGACGTCATGAAAACCTTTGAGGCCGCTTATTAGGGGATAATTTTGCAAAGGGGTTTTAAAGTGGCGAGAATTTTATATAAAATTTAACGACTGTAGTTTCTTTTCGAGTCTGGGGCTAAAGGGCAGTGGGAGCTTTCTTCTTTGAATATAACTGTTATTTTTTCATTTAACTTTGGAGAAAGATGCTCACAAACACTTTGAAAAATTTTGTTTTTCCCTTATGATAGCTAGGAGGTAAATTTAAAAAATTACGTTTAAAAAAACATATGTGAAAATAACAAGCGCGGGGAATACAAATGGGAAGGGTGGAGTTTGTATATAAAAGTATTTTTTTTAAAGAAAAAAAATTTTTAATTAGTATATTAAATATATTTTATTAAAATATATATATATATTTATATATTTTATATATTTGTAAAAATCTGGGCTGAAATGCGTTATGCCGTGGGGCCGTTTCTTATTTAAAAAAAACGCAAAAAATTTTTTTACCCGGGAAAAGAAAAATGGTTAAATTTCCGCAAATTGTTTAAAAAAGGGGGGGTTCCCAAAGAAATTTTTCGGGGCGATTTAAAAATTAATGGAAAATTTTAAAAGATAAAAATTCTTATTCGGGAAAATGTTTTTTTTTTTTCTTTTTTTTTTCCCCTTTTATAAATTCATCATTTGATGAACCATTAACACAGAAAACAGTATTAAGACATTGCGTTGATGTCTGGCTATCACCTTCCTTTATGGCATCAGTATAATAGCCTTCACGCGCTTCTAATTTAATCAAGGAAATTAGATATCTTTTTCTCCATTATCCAATCAATGGTAATATTTTAACGTGTCTGACACGATAAGAAAATATTGGTAGTTGTAATGAAAAAATATTTCATATCATAATATAATTATTATCTTATAAAGTAAAAAAATAAATTTATTATGTCAATAACGGCCTGCGTCAAGGAGCGGAATTACTCCCGTTGTTATGCAATGAACCAATATATTTTTCAATGTAATTTCTTCTTCCACAGTTTCTCTTTTATTGAAAATAATACAAAAAACACATGCTTGTTTACTCTGCTTTGAAAGTTCGACACGCATCTTGGAAAACTATTCACGCATATATTTTTGTCTTTTTTTTTTAACTTTGTTAATTTTAAAATGTTTTTCCCATCAAAGTAAAGTTTTATGTGAAAAAAGATAAAGCTTTTAAAATAAAAATTGGGTTGAAAGTAAAAGTTTTTGGGAAAAGGTTTTATTAATTTTTTTAAGGGGGTTTTTTGCCAAAAGGGGGTTTTTTTTTTTTGGGCCGGGGTATTTCCTGAATTTAAAAAATTGGGATTTTTTCGTTTTTAAAATAAACGTTTTTTTTTAAAACAGAAAAATTGAAAATGTTTCAAAGTGGGCAAAAAACATTGGGGGACATGATCTTTTTGTTAAGTGATAATTTCAAAGATGATTGAAATATTTTAAATTGGGATGGGAATGTAGTTTTCCATTTGGGCCCTGGGCAAAAATGATCCCATTAAAAAGAGCGAAAAAAACATGGGACAATATCTGTTTGTTACGAAACATAACATGATGACGACATGATATGTTGCGTCTAGCGTAAAAAAACATAACAACATGATATGTTACATAGTGCTCATTAACATGAAGACATGATAATTTCTTATTGAGCATAATATCATGATAACGACATGATCTGTTGTAAACGTGTTAACATGACGACATTATTTTTTTAAATAATTGCTTGTTTATTTTTTCAGTCTTCATACGCCGATTATATATATTCCTACGCGGAGAAAAATGTAGATGACCTTGAAAGAAGCGAAGGTGCTGTTTTAAATTCGTGCTTCTGGGTAAGAATATTTTTATTATGCTATATATATTTCTATACAATAGTGATTTATATTCCTATTTGATTCATGCTAGAATCTTTTTTGTCGAAAAATCATTTCTTACTGGTGTGATTTGAGTTGAAATTGATTCAAACTAATCATCCGAAAATCATTTGTTACAGAAAACAAATATAAGTTAATGAGTATTCGTAATAAACATGTCAAGCTCATGGTATAAATGTCTAAGAAATGATTTTGTAAATGCGAGTTTTCAGGTTTATTTCGTATTAAAGTTATAAAGTAGTATGTTATATGATAACAATAAACATTTTAAATCTTATAATTTTACTGCAATCACTTTTTTCTATAGACGGATACATAATAAACTTACTTTTATTGTCAAATATTTATCTTTAACACTTTTTTTCTATATACGATTTCTGGTGGGACCTTATAGCCTCGCTAAATATATATCAAAATTAAGTGTTAACTGCTGACTAGTCCAATATGTGATAAGATTAGCCTCGTCGATTTATGTATCTAAAATATCCTAGCTTTGCTGGCCATATACATATATCTAATAAAACTAGCATAGCCAAACATACATTTTGAAACTTAGCATAATACTGCAAACGCTTTTTACTGGTCAAATAAATAATAACATTTGTGTCGCAAATTGTTCCTCTTAAACTTAAGTATTTTTGCTACAAACGCTTATTTTGGTCCAATATATGATAACATTAACATATGCGTCGCCGAATGTACATATTAAACTTAACGTATTTTACTGCAACCGCTTTTCTGATCCAATGTATTATTACATTTGCGTCGCAAAATGTACTTCTTTAACTTTAGTATTTTACTTCAAACCGTTTTCTGGTCCAAACTTTCATTATATTTGCGTAGCCAAATGTACATATTAAACATGAGTGTTTTACGGCAGCCGCTTTTCTGGTCCAATATACATGTATGATACCACTAGCATCGTTAAAGATACATCTCAAACTTTTATATTTTTTATAGATAGATAGAATTTTATATTTTTATCATCTATTTATCTTTTTCCATGTATTTCATTTTCAGGGACCATTTGCTCTCGGTAGATTGATAGCAGTTATATTATCAACGCGTCTGTCTGCTGCCTTTATGCTGTCATGTAATCTAGTAAGTGACAATAACATTTCTTTCTTCGTAGTAGCATGCTTTATATTGCCAAAATATACTAAATTTAACCAGAAACAAAAAGTCATAGAAAGAGCATTTGAGATGGCAATTTTTAAATCATTTTACAATATCACAATATAAGTTTAGAGAATATCTCTTGATAGTTAATCTCTATATTTATTATACGGTCATTTGTCTTGTTTTTCAAACCCTAAAGAAGGACAACCCATCTTGTGGGGGGGGCGTGGGGGGGGGAAAAAAAACATCAAAACAATGGAAAAAAATTTTTTGATATGAAAATTTTATAAATTAATAGATGTTTTGAATGACTGTATGTTCAATACTGAATTTATTGAACGAGTTGAATAAAATTATATCATGCGAGCCTCTGGCTAACATGATATCATCTTATTCAACGAGTTTCATACCTACACGAATATTATATTCTATTCATCACATACCCAATTAAAGTCAGTTTAAAGTGAAAAAGGGTCATTTTTAATTGATGGCTTATAGTGCAACGCTAACATTTAGCGTGTCTATACAGTATGTTTGTGTAACGCAAATGACGTCACGTCATTCAGCACGGCCGTGCAATACCATTTTTACGGAGTCGCAAGTCGGCACGGGTATGCGATAAATAAAAGTTATTAGATAAGAGTCTTTTCTGTCGCGACTGAGTTAATACTGGCCTGGCTCTATTAGTTGTTACATATAGCTCTTGATGTTGCAGCTAGGCACAAAATTGTTACAATATGCACATGTTACATTATTACCCATTCAAACAAGTATTTGTGAGAAACTTCATATCAACTTTGAAGAATACATTTAACGATTGTGCACACAGCGCTTTTCTTTATAAATATGCTGCTTAGAATATAATAAGAAAGCTGACTGAAGAAAAGGTTATTTAATTTGCAGCATTGTATTTATTCTGTTCACGTGAAACGAAAGCAACGAACCATTAATGGAACAGCTGTAAGATCTCGTGTTATGTGAGATCTCGTCATATAGACGCAGATATCGTGTATCTTTAGGTTTATTATTGTAGAGATACATCAGTTTAACACCAAGGCGATTTCAATCTTCATAATCGTTTGTTTATTGTCTTGAGAGATATTTTTATTGTTGGTAAACAAAGCTGTTACATTGCTATACAATTCAAAACCGCTGAGTCATCAATGTATATATTGCTAGGCGATCAATGAACTGCTTGTTAAGTTATGACATTTCTTGAAAAGTACATTACAGGTTTATAGCAATTTTGCTCGCAGAGCATTTCAGAACAGTTTTATAGTGTTATAAAATGCGACGATTGCATACATTTAAATATATTCACATAAAATTCTTAAAAATGGAAGACCAATTAAAGAGACGCGAAAACAAATATAAAATGTGAAAACTGCAGACTCAGTTTGACCTGGGACTTCCCAGGTTTAGTTGAATCTGTCAATGACGGTGAATCAACGGTGCAATATCCCTACGACCCCTCCCAGTATTCAAACTCTTAAAGAACAACCTACATGTCTTTTATAATCTTAGTGGTGCAAGGGCCAAATTTAATTTTCATTTAGTTTAAAGTAAAAAAAAATGTAAAATATCAGAGAAAAGCTTGAGCTTGAGGTAATAAATTGACAAGCCAATGATATATAATACTTTTGCTTTACAAATTTTTCAAAACATATTTCTTTTTCAGGGCGGATGTTCAATCGCGCTTTTACTTACTTTAATATTTAAAACCAGTCGTGTAGCAGTCTATATTGGCACATGCGCACTTGGTCTTTTCCTGTCTAGTATGTCACCTACAGCAATGGCGCTTACAGAACAATTTATCTCGATAAATGGTAGGCACTGTGTTTAAGTTATTGCAAATATAAAGCACTTAATATAATAACAAGATTTTTGGTGTCTTTTGGTCAAAGTTTTTCTTAAGTCGCGTTACTGATTAACTGTTTCCTATACCAGATAAATCAAATTTAAATTTTAAAATATAAAATGAATCTAGTACTGAATTTCAAATAGGGAACTTGGCAACATCAAAGTATCAATTATGCATTTTTTTACTCATAATATAAGTCCTAACTGATATTATTTGTTTAAAATAGGTTGCAATTCAATGTTTGTTTCTAATTTTAGCTCCGATCACGTCGTGTATGGTTGTTTTTGCTGCTTTGGGAGAGACCATATGTCCAGTTATAGTTGGAAATGTAAGTTATCATTAAAGTGTACTCATGCTGAAGCTCAAAATAAAATATCAGTTAATGAAAGTTAAAAAAAAGAAGAAACTTAAAAAGATAAAATGAAATACCTACAGAACGGCAACATTGAAAAATGTCGTAGACTCGTTTTGATTGAGTCTTTTCATGGTCAGTTATGGTAAATATGGTCAGTTATGGTAAATCAACTGACAGTCCAGCCTATCAAGTCCGTATTCCAACAACATTTCCCGACTTTTGTAGAGAAGGATTTTTTTTGCGTTTTAGATAACAAGACAAAAAGATATTCAATTGTTTTTGTTTTGTTTTTTTAGTTTTTATATATATGCTGTATGTAAGTGCGTTTTTTTCTGACTCATGAATTTCAAATTGTTTGCAGGAGCATATTCTTTTATTTTTACAATACATATGTGACGGAAATTTACGAAAAAAAGCCGGAATTACACGAAATCAATATTTCACAATTTCATTTTTTTGTAGCTATTTGTAACGGCTGGGCCTGTAAGTTTTCTAGCGTTCTGTTTCACGGTGGTTATCATAGGTGTAGCTGTGTACGTGTTGTTGATGGTTGTAGGGCGAAATTCAACCAAATATAGAGGTTAGTCGATTTATATTATATCAGATCATCTTCAGTCAAACAAGCAATGTACATATGAAAAAAAACGATAAAAGAATTATCTACAGTACATGTGCACGGTAAACATGTACATGAGTAAATTTAATACATATCAACATACTAGTATAACATATGATTTTACACTTCTTGCAGACTAATATTTGACAAAATTAATATCTAATAAAAAATGGGATGGTCCCTCGGGAGCAAGGAAAAGAACAAAATAATATAGAAATTGCGGATCCGAGCCCTGCTTTGTGCCCTGCCCTGTGTTTGTTTGGTGTCCTGCTTGGCTCCTTGCCGGTTGTCCTCTATTGCTGGGCCGTGTGAAGGTTGCGTTTGTTGAATGTTGATCTTGTTTTTTATATTTAATGGAGTCTGTTCATGAGGGATAACGGAAAAGTGAAAATTCCTAACGCCCCTAATTTCTTTTCTGTTTAATCGATTTTCTTTTTGATATAGCAAAAAAAATGAAATCCTTAAAGAACGCCAAACAAATCAAAAACAATGCAGACTCGGTGCTATTGAGTATTATGGACTGTAATTGTAAGGGCAAGATTCCGTCTACGCCCCAAAGCAAGTCTATATGAAACACCTAGTTAATGTCAGATTAGTTTTATTGCATGATATTATTTATTCATAAAACCAGAAAAAAATGACGGCAAAATGTTGGTCCAATGATATAGATAAACCAATTTTAATTAGACCCGGGTCATTTTGTGCTTACACGTCATATCTGTTAAAACTGAATTATTGCTCCTTCTTTTAGCCCATTGAAGTATTTTGTTCTTCACATAAACATTTTGGTCTTTTATCTCTTTTATTTAGAGACATCAGGTGTTTCCTTCGTTTGGCTGACAAAACCGCCGCCAAGATTTGGTGAAAATAGTGAAATAAATAACACAAATGTTAAATACTATTCAAATCAGGACCAAGAAAATAATCCGGAAATGACGTCAAAAAGCAATGAAGACGCACCAGGTAAACCAATCGGAAATGGCTACTCGGATGGTCGATGACAACATTTCTTTTCCAGATTAGAAATATATATCTATAATATATGTTAATAGTAATTTGTATTTGTCGATTCAAGTGCTTTGTTCCGTCAGTCATGCATGTCACAAGAATATATTTATATTGGGTTGAAAGAGGTAAGCAACTGTCTCAATTCTTCAATATATCAGATATACCATCATCAAACATAAACATGACGCGAACTAAAGTTAAGTTGTACATTATTAATAAGTAAGCAATATCTTTGCCATCGCTTCATAAATAGTAAGATGGAAGAAAATATGGCTAAAGACTCACTTTCAAAACTCTCTAACTGCATGACTGGTGCGATGTCCAGGTCCATATTCGATAGCATAATGCTATATTTTGAAAATAAGAATACAAATGGACACTAATTAAATATGAAATGCATACATGAAAAAGTTAATTACAAATCATTTGTCGATTAATGAATACTTTAAACGAGTTTATATGAAAAAACTGTCATGTAACGTATTTAAATCAAACCTAACAATTTAACAAATTTTACTTATTTCTGAACATAAGCGAGTAAGTCTAAATTATATCAGATTACAAGTATATTCATTTTGCTCTATAATCATTTTAAAATCCTATTCAAGTCTAATGTCATTGAACAAAAGGTTTGGTTTTCACGTTCAGTTAACGCATCAAATTATGGTTTGGCCTAAACACATTTTGGTCTACAATACATATATAGGCAAAATAAATTAATGTGACAAAACAGTAAAAAGTAAAAAACATTCCATCGACCAATTCCTGTACTGTATTTGCAAATCAACTTTTAATATAAGTCATTTAATACATGTTATTTTTTGTATATTGATTTTGACCATACCACAATTCCGTAAAACGATATCAAATGTTAAAATCAATGTATTCTTACGATTGTGATACATGTACATGTACATGTATATGTAATATGCCATTTTGTTATTTAATGGGAAATCAGAAAGTAATACATCATAAAGCATTAAATAAAACGCCAAGAAAGAACTTGTTTGCTTAATAAAATGACGTCATTTATAACTCGTGAACACATTCGTTGATAAAAGTACCTAACTGAAGTTTTTTAAATATGACGCCATTGATAACATGTGATCACACTCGTACATAAGATAATTTATCTGAAGTTAAGATAATAATTATACTTATATATAGGCATAACGTCATTTATAACACGTGATCACACTCGTACATGAGATTATCTCTTTGAAGTTAAGATATTAATAATAACTATTTTTAAGAATGACGTCATTTATGACACGTGATCACAATCGTGCATGAGATTATTTATCTAAAGTAAAGTAATACTATATTAAACGTCATTAAATGAAAACGTCAGAGAAGAAGTTAAGATTTGACTATAATAAAATGACGTCATTTATTTATCATGACACAATGTTGATGAAATATTATCTAAGTAAAATTTTTAAAATATAATGCGTCGTTCATAACACGTGATCACAATCGTACATCAGGTTATTTCTTTGAAGTGAAGATATTAATAATAGCTATTTTTAATTATGACGTCATTTATAACACGTGATCACACACGTGCATGACATTATTTACCGACAGTAAAAATAATGCTAATATTTTAATAAATTTGTAGTCAATTAAAATTGTGTTTATTTAACATTTTTAACGACAGAAAAACTTCTTAAGAAGTTTATTGAATCTCGTTGTATTTATTTGTTTTTAATCACTCTTGTGTTATATTAACTGTTTATCATTGTTATTTTTTAGAGCTTTTATACTCTTTAAGTACTTGATTTTATAAGGTGTCTTTAATATTTTTACGATGTCTATGATATCTCTTTTTAAAAACATTTTTAAAGTTTATATGACAATTGTTATTTATTAAAGATCTAAAGATCAATGTTGAAAGGCTATTTTAGTTAGCACAGGATGGTGGGATATTATTTTATTTTTTAAAGGTCAACTATGCCTAAACAATCTATCATTTTTTAAAAATGTTCTGGAAATATCAAGCATGTGTTTAAAAAATAATATTGGATTTAGAGCATATTAGATGTTTAACAATTACAGAAAATAGCCTTGTACTTGCAGTAATGTGTCATAAAGATAGCAAAATGTTAACAAATAGTATTTTGACTTCCATACAAAATATCAATTCAATATATATAATTATTCCAATTACAAACAGAACAAGACAAACAAAAGATAGTTCGTCTATATGGCAAATGACTAATTATTTGGAATCTGTTACAAGATACGTAAATGATAGCATATCTTAGGCATAATGGGCCTTTAAGCGTTTATTGCTGCTTGTACATAGTAACTTGCTAAATTTGGTAAAAAAATAACTACAATATGGCAATACCAACGACCTTTGTTATTACAGAATGGTGGATTATTCTTATTGTTTGAGAATCCATTGTTTTTTGTTACAACACATTTGGTAAATTTTAATTTTTTTTTTTCGATCGAAATGTATTTCTTCAAAAATGAAAAGCTTCGTAATTTATGTCTTTGAAATGTATATCTTCATATTTTGCATATGTAAACACATATATCAAATTCATCCATAAAATTCAAAATTTGACGAGAAATTTTCCTAAATTATTGTTAACTTTTATGTAGAATGTTAGATTTGATGACAGGAAACGTAGATCGTTCATTTGTTTTATTTGTTCCTTGTTTTAGTGGTTTATTGATTTTTAATATTATATGTTATATCGTTTTTGCGTAATAATTAATTTGGCGTTATATGAGTAAAGTGTTATTATATGTTACATTTTAATACTGCACGGTTGTAATGTCGTTTTTCATTGGATAATCGTGACGTTTACTTTATACACGGCTGCAGTCGATTTATAAAGTAATTTCATTTTGTTTCACTAAAAAAGAATTTAAGTCTGCAGTATTATAATTATATTCGTTATAAAGATTTTTTGATAGGTTATATGGTTCTATATAATCAGTTGTTTTTTTACATTGTATATCCGCAAATAACCGTATATGCACGACCATATATATAACCTATTTATACGACCATATAACCTTTTTATACAGTCATATAACAAAATATAACCGTATAATATGGTTATTTGTAATATAATTCTCGCCTTGCGGCTCCGCTTATAATATATAGAAACAACTGTTTATATAAAGCCATATAACCTGTCAAAAAAATCTTTTTTACTTTAATTGTTTCGTACACAGAGATTATTCTTTACACGTGTATTTGACACAGTTTGTATTTAATCAGATATATGGACTCAAGTTCTCAACTATATTAGTGTACCTCTGAAGTAACTACAAAAATACATGTAGAAATCTATAAATAGGAGTTTATCCGGGCAACTGAACACGGTAATATAGTAATGTTGGTTGTTTTTTATTTGTCGGAATAACAAAAAAAAACAAGCATCACATTCAACGAAATACATGATATTCTGAAAATCAACGTATTGAATTTGGTTATAAAACACAAATTATATTACAAAATCTTCCAGTTTATTTTATTACGGCATAAATTCCCCCTATCTCAAACTATTAATTTGACCTGGTCATAGAAAAGATAATGCTATCTAGAGCATCAGTGTTATCCTAAAATCAAGCAGAATGTTAATTTATTTTCACACATTTCATGCTTTCAATTTTTACCCATTTTAAAGCTAGATATTCTTGGAGTGATTTTCCTGTGCATTTTCACGCTTGTGTTGTTATACAAATGACGGATTAGAAAGTAGGGGCTGGAACTCTTGCCAACAAAATATTTTTATCCATCACTTTACCTGCTGAATTTAAATAATGAATTCGAATTCGTCATGGGATGAATTTAAAACAGTAAATTCAGAGTTTTAAAAGCCCAGGAAACGAATATACTTTTATTGTTAAGAGTTTAGTGGTTTACCACACATAAAAATAACAGTTTTAGAACGTGTTAGATGTTTATCACCTGGTGAAATTAATATATGCAATAACTTGTCGTAAAAGTAGCAAAATGTAAACAAAGTAGTTTTTAGACATCCATACAAAATTCTAAATCACTATAACTGTACTTACTGCCAAAAGCCACAGAAGCAAAAAAAGGTGGTAAAGGTTCTTGGCTAGTGCGTAACCTTTTAGAAATTATAATATGACACCAAAAATAAAAAGCTTTTGAAATATAAATATTGAATCATTTCTTGGGCATAATGAGCCTTTTAAGCAGCACGCCTCCAGATTTATACTAATTTTTATGATTTTTTTTAAAATATGTGTAAACGTATAATAATGTGTAGTGACCAAAAGGAAGCAATTTACACCTTATTAATTGCATTTACAACTCACGTAAATTACTAAAATGAGGTAAAATGTGCAAAAAAGCCCTTACTGCGTTAGTAACGCAGTTGAAATATTGTCATAATATCAAAAAAAAAAAATCAGTCATTGACCACATATAACATGTCAATAATTACTTGAATCTTTAATATTTTTACATTCCTAAAGTCTAAGTATTTTTTTTTTAAAGTTTGATTCTATTGAAATATTTTGGCTTATCTGGAGGCACGTAGCTTTTATGATTACAATGTGCAGCAGTTTAGATCCTGCTCAATCTACCCAGACGTGCAGGATGGTTGAACCCCTATACTATTATCAAAGGCCTGCTGGTTAAGTGTAAATTTGTTATATGCATAATTTGTTTAGCTTTAAAATGTGAAACATTGATAATTATACATGTATATATAATATAGTTACATGAAGCATAATTATTTACATTTGTTATATTTGATATTTTGCGTTGTTTCAAGTCAGTACACAATTATGTGCAAATTAAAAATAAAAATTGAAAATGCTCAAACGTTTTTCATGTCTTGATTTAATAAAAGAGGTATTGAGAGGGTACTCATTGTAACGTGTGCTTTTTGTCATGGGAGATGAATTTCACAACATTCCTGACGGAGAATTAGTAATAGCTGGATTATTTCATACTTAACCAATCGATTTCAAGTTCATGGCTGTTACTCCATGTTTACAGCATTTTTATGTGTAATACTGAGTATTAATCATAATATATTAATAGGTCACGTGACACGCACGTGACAGCGGAGTGGTAAGAATAAAACAATAAAAGGAATTTGTTGTAGACAATAAAGACATCTGTTACAGAGGATCTATTGTAATAAATTTATAATAAGCTTAAGTTAATCGGCATTTTGTTTATTCCCAATGTTATGTTTATTACGACGATCTTTTTTATTTGCTGTTTTAAATCACACCGACTCTGTTAATGTAATTTCGCGATCTTAAGGCTTTACTTGGGGAGACAACCTTTAGAATTAGAACCATCGACATTCCGTTTGCTAGATTGATAGCTTCACTACATGTTATAATCCAAAGTCTCTGACAAGAACCCAAAATGGCAAGGAGCGAGTACTTCTAAGCCAGTAACCCTACTGACAAGAACTCACAAGGGCAAGGAGCAAGTAATTCTAAGCCAGTAACCCTACTGGCAAGAACCCACAAGGGCAAGAAGCAAGTTATTCTAAGCCAGTAACCCTACTGACAAGAGCCCACAATGGCAAGGAGCAAGTTATTCTAAGCCAGTAACCCTACTGACAAGAGCCCACAATGGCAAGGAGCAAGTGACTCTAAGCCAGTAACTCTACTGACAAGAACCCACAAGGGCAAGGAGCAAGTTATTCTAAGCCAGTAACCCTACTGACAAGAGCCCAAAATGGCAAGGAGCAAGTTATTCTAAGCCAGTAACCCTACTGACAAGAGCCCACAATGGCAAGGAGCAAGTTATTCTAAGCCAGTAACCCTACTGACAAGAGCCCACAAGGGCAGGGAGCAAGTGACTCTAAGCCAGTAACCCTACTGACAAGAACCCACAAGGGCAAGGAGCAAGTTATTCTAAGCCAGTAACCCTACTGACAAGAGCCCACAATGGCAG